CGCGCCTAAAGAAGTATAACTTCAAAAATATATATTACTTACCAAATACCGAAATAAATATGTTATTACATACACACACAAATAAATAAATACAAAAATACAAAAAGTAGCTCAACACAGAAAGAAAAACTAAATTATCTAAATTGAACAAATTTGCACTTGTATCCCGCACTCAACCTAAAAGCAGAGTCCCCAAGATAATACTTTCTTTCGCTTGTTTAAATGATCTTAACACGTGCTACTAACTAGTGATGCGACTCGAGTAGGATTTTGTGCCTCGAGTAATTTTACTACGTCACTCGAGTTGTACTCGAGTTTTCGAGTCACTCGAGTAAACTACTTACACTCCTTACAACTCGAGTAAGAATTTATTTATGACTCGAGCTGGGTTTCGTTTAGTTTAGAATAAATAATTTTTCAATGCCTTTATTTAATTAGTAATATTTGGTAATATGAAATAAAATACAAAATATTGGTGTCGATTCTGGCGTGATACTCTAAACTTAAAACTAAATTTAACATTAGTCTCTCCTTTTCATTCTGAATATAGAATGACAAGGATACACTGTTGTCAAATTTAAGTTTAGGTTTAGAGAATCATGCCAGAATCGACACCAGTATTACCATATTTGTCATTAATCGACAAAGAAAAATATAATGACTTGTTACAACAAGTTAAGTTGACATGTAAAAATGACTTTAAATTGCAAATAAGAAGTTATCAGTTTTTATTGTTCAAAACGAACTTTATTTCAAGTAACGTAGTGACATCTAGTGCTTACCGAATCTAATCGGCGCGCCGAGTTGACACGGTGCGAGAGACTATGCCAATGTGCTCGCAACTTCGGTCCCTTGCGAGAGAATTTTTAGCAAAACGGGCCTTCTTATAAGTGATCGGCGCGCAAGGTTTGACCATAAGAAAGTCAGCCAAATTATGTTTCTGAATGTAAATAGAAAATTGTAAATAGACTAAAATTTGTAAAAATGTAAATATTCTAACAAAGATGTATATAAGATGAACTTTTAAATACGCCTGCATAAAAATAAGTATTATGTGTACCTTCACATGTAGTTTTATAATGTTATTATGCAGCCAGTCTTAAGCCTCGGTAAAGTATGAAGGAAAGTTCATTTTATTGTGGTGGTGGGATCATAATTTGATCATTTCAAAAACAACGCCAAATTTACTTAATCAAAAAACGAACCTTTATAAAAACAAACTGTTTAAAAACATATTGAATTGGTGTGGTAGTTGTGAAATAAATCGTCTCAATCGAAAAGCGAACCTTTAAAAAACTGTTTTAAAACAAAATGACTTTGTAAGGTGGTTGTGAAATAGATCGTCTTAATCGAAAAACGAACCTTTACAAAATAAACTGTTTTTTGAACATATTGACTTTGCGTGGTGGTTGTAAAATAGATCGTTTTAAAATAGACGTTTTCGACAACGTTGTGAGAACGCTGGTAACGTTTCGTTGTGTTATTTAGAAAACGCGTAACGACACATACATATCAGAGCCAGAGTCCAAAGTAAAAGTCACACAGGTTAGCATAACTTGGCTACATATTAGCCACAGACTAAAACATCTATTAAGCTGTACTACACAGAACAGCGGTGAAAAGTGGCTTTATGGCAATGGCTTAATTTTAAGGTATGATTTCTCGTGTCAGTGTATGCTGAGTTTTAAGTATCTAGACAGCTAGTCCCTTTACCAATAAATGATTAATAAAGCTTAAGACTATTTATGCCGTGTTTTATTATATCACTCGTGTCATTTGTAATTCAATTAAGAGAGACAAAACAAAGTAATTAATCAAAGCTTATTATTTTTTTATAGCGTAACTAGCTGTCCCAGCGAACTGCGTACCGCCATAAAAAAATAGGGTTTGGTGGTAGAAGGGTGGAAGGTTTGTATGTATTTTTTGTATGACGTATCATAAAAAATAAAAGCAAAAATTGTCCAATAAAAATTCCGATTCTCAGACCTACTGAATTTGCATACAAAATTTCTCAAAAATCGGTCGAACCGTTTCGAATAAGTGCGTAGTTCAATTACGCACACTGTGACACGAGGATTTTATATATTAGATAAGGGGGTAGTTGATTATACACTCGGGAGAAATAAAAAACAATTTGTTCACTACATTCTATTTAATAAATAAATCTGAAGAGAAACAATCGTATATTTTTACATCACAACGCATTTTTTTGGTTTTTAAACAGTTGAGCAAGATTTAAAACCTAGTTACAGTGAATGAATCTACGCATAAATTTATTGTCAGTGAGATATAAGTAATAGTATGTAACTTTACAATATTACATTATCTAAGTAAACTACTTACATTAATTATAAAACGTAATTAAGATTCAATTCGCGAGGAACGCAAGTATTTGTACCCTTTGTCCACTAATTATAATTGGCCCATAGTAATTTGTGCATTAATGGAAAGGTATGTATGGTGCAGTATTTAGGCAAAACCATTGTCAATTTTTTTTCCAGAGCATTGGTTTTGAAAGTTAAGCGAATGTTTACAATAGGATTTCAATGAACGAAGGGAAATCTCCGTAAGCTACAATTTTAATTCATAATTCCAAAAACACCATATAGTGACATAAACTTTCTTAAAAGAAAATCCGGTACATGCTTAATCCGTTGCAGAATAGGTATTTTAGTTTAAAGAATGGCAAATAAGCTTATGGCCCGCCTGGTAGTCAGCGGCTACCATAGACGCTTATATGATAATAAAAATACAGGTTGCAGCAGGGATAGCTGCGCATGGGCACAGCGGTGACACTCCCTGTACGTGAGAGTTCCAGCGTCAGTGACCTTGAGCAGGAGCGTGTATGCGCTAGGGTTGAACTTGGAATTTAGACTTGTGCCAATGAATGTATATGTATAGTAAGTTATTAAATGTAAACTGATTCAAGGATACTGGGGTAAATAAAGGAAGGATAGGTTTGATATTATAATCAATTTTTAATCATTTAATGTAGGTACTATAACAAATTGCTAACTTTTATATATTTTCTCCTTTTTCGATTCGTTTTATAATTCTTATTATTATCTAAATAATAATAAGATTGCGTAGCGTAGTCAGTCTGTGCGTGCAATGCAGTGCAACGCTATTATTTTACTATTTCGCTACTGCCATGCCTTCGGTCGAGGCAGTCGGCGACTGCCCTCTCCACGCCCCGCGCGCCGCCCCCGCGCACCTCCAGACACCCACACATAGCCGCGGGCGATTTTACGAGCACACATGCTTAAGTGTCGCTTCTTTTCGCGTAGTGTATATATGTATTCTGTGGCATGGGTACGACTGGAGAGAAAATCGGCGCAACGCACGCCCACCCGCGCACCTCATTTCCCCCCAAGACATCTTAATTTTTACTTCTGCGCGGTATAACGGTCAGCGCTAGTTTCGTGCTGCGACTTATCACTCCTTCGTTGCCTACCCTGACCGGAACCCCAACCCCGCGGAGCCTGGATGATAGAGAAGTATACGCTGGTTTTGTAAGTATGCCAGGCGGAGGTTTTTCACCTAGCGTACTCGACAAACTATGTCCATAGTTTTTAAGTACTTATACTATTTATTTCCTTTTGGCACTATTATGACAATTGTTTTTTTTTTCAATATAGGAATCGCAGTTTGAATATGCTAGGCGTGGGGACAACACGTGGGAGCTGCCTTATATCGAGTATTTTTTAAATCGATTGTCATTCCATTTCGGACGTTCGGCATTGAACGCAAAGTTCAAATTATAAATCAATAGATATCACATTGATTTTTCATTGCACGCGCGGTTTCTAAACCAAAAGCGTCGGTGACCTTGGTTCACCGTTGCCAGACAAAGATTTAAAGATAATATTTTGAAAATAAAAATCTAACCTGTATATGGACGACTCATTACAAGAAATGGCCTTCTATAGTAGGTACATGGCCACAGCAACTCGATAATATTGATGTGCTATATTTATCGATTCTTATCCATTAAAATCCATTGTGTTGTGGCACTTATACCTATGTCGTGAAGAAACCGTATTAAAATGGATTTCTCTGGTCATCTGTTACACAAGTTGAGATTTGCTGGTTAGATATTTTGATATTATAGCCAGGGGCGTTTTAAAATTTGGCGCTGCGGGCCACTTACGATTTGCACCTCTCCCCGGGTTTGGGGACGGCGAGATCCTAAGGGGATCTCAAGCCGAGAATTGGCTAGTGCCCCTAGAGGTATACCAGGCGGATGGCATCTCCCCACGGGGGGAGGCTCCTCTCCATCTGGAGCCTCTAAACCACTTGAATCTGAGGGGATCGGCTCAACTAGAAGGCGTCTCTGAGACTCGGACCTCGGCTCTAGTTAGCCGTTGTCGTCGTCATCGTAGACCGCCATCTTGAATTTTTAAAATAAGTAAATCAAATTCAGAATATGAGTCAGTTACGAATGCCTTTATTGGCTTCTGTCGCCCCTCGTACTCTATCGCCCCGGGCTAGCCTTTTTGGCCCTAGGGTATACACGCCCCTGAATGTCGATTCTGTAAGATACAATCTCACTTACGATCCCATTTATTTGTATTTCTGTCAATTGTCAAATATCTCTTACCGGCTGCTTCAAAAATCATTGCAACATTTTGTCGTGTAATGGCCCAATGCATATCAAACTGCTATCGAATTCGGAAGTGAGATTTTGTTTTTACAGAATTGAACTACAGATTATATTAAGTCAATTAAACATATTTAGCAAGTAGAATATACTTATCGAGTTACTCCAGATTAGCCTAGGTATTTCTTATTGGTAACAGCTGTATTGCTACCTAATAATTGATCTATGTGATTAGTGTACATTTAATTATACTAAGAATAGGATTCGATCCGTAAAAGTTATGTCAATTCCTCTTTTAAGTACTTATGACTAGATTCAAAATGGCAGGTACTTTGAAATATGAAACAGAGAAACTTGTTCATAATGATATGAGTGAGATCACTTAATATAACGAGATATGCTACAAGTCAACCATGATATGGGTAAAAAGAGGGTGGAGTACCGTCGCTACTTCAGTATATCTCAGAGTGTTCAGTCCATCGTTGTTGATTCTGTTTTTCGCATAATTAAGCAATTTGTGCCTTTTTTCTCTGAAACAAATACAAATTTGTTTCTTAGGTATTCACGCTCACCAATCATTGCATGCTTATCAGGATGCGTCGTCTGAATCATGAAAAGGGTGCGAAACGTCAATAAATAAATAAATCAGGATATCTATACCGTTGAAACTTGTTTTATTTAAATAAAAATATAACTAACACTTTACTGGAACATGGTTAGGGTTGCGAGGTCGCCAAATGTAATAGCCGGACAGACCAGCCAGTTTGGCCGGACACCCTACATTATTAAGGATTCTGTTGCTCAGTATTATAAGGTATGAGAAAAAAATTTAATGTAGAAGCGACCAACAGTCAACTCGCTTACGCTCGGCCACGCTCGTCGCTTTCTTGTTTGCGTAATGTATAAAGCGTATCAAAACTCAGACATCGTTTATTTTGGCCGGACATGCAAAATATAAAAAGCCTGACTATTTCCGGCTTTATCCAGACGCCTGGCAACGCTAAACAACGCAATAGTGATCTAGCTAACCATAAGAATGGAGATTTTATTTTTCTCGTGGGCTTATCTGCAATCATTACTTTACTATAAGCAGATGTCTTGGAGGTTGCTTGTTAGCAAACTCCAAGACATCTGCTACTGCTACTACGTAATGTCGAGCGTATCCTCCATCGAAGATATCTTCTCTTAATCATTTTCGGAATGTTCTTAAGGTAATATGTCTCTTCAGACGTTTTACATGGTCACAAGCAGTCAGTTTCATCGCGAGTGTATTTGGGTGATTTTCGAGTCTCCTTCTTATTAGATATTTTTTTCTGAGTCTGTATTTCCTCTCCCACAGTGGTCATATTTAAGTGTTCATGGATCTCCGAATTTGTGATAAACTATGGTATATTTGGTATTTTCCTGAGTACTCTATTTTGCATCCTCTCAATGCTTGATTTGCTTGCACTTCCCAAAAGTTCAATGCCATATGTCCAGGATGGTTGAAAGCCGGGTACTCATTAGCAAGCTGTAACTGTAAAGGTTTCATGGACTGTAACCAAAAAGCATAGTGTGTGGTTCGCTAACCTGCTGAGTGCGGTTTGCAACGAGCTGACGTTTACAACTTAGCTACAAGTGTACACACTAAATGCTTGTACTATATCACGCATGTTACAGTTACAGCTCGCTAATGAGTTTAAGTATTGCCTTGTATATTACCCAGCTTAAGTATTGCCTTGTATATTAGGAGCTTCTTCTCTATTGATAATTTGCTGTTCCGGCCTAATATCTAGTAGATGTTCTTTTGTATAAGGTTCAGCTCTCTCTTTTCTTTTTGAGGTGTCCGTTCCAGGTAGTCCTAGATACCTTACGCTATCTTGTTGTGGCGTGGTATTAAATAATTACTGATCCCCTATCCTAACTGGGGGACGGTATTCTCATTGAAGAATGGAGGAATAAACAGAAAACTTAGAGATGAAGCAACTGTATATTCGTCATGTTGTTTATTAGTTTCCTTTATAGTCAGCATATCTTTCATGTAATTCATTATCATTAGTGCTGACTGGTAAATGGTAAGGGCTAACTTCAGTAAGCACCTACTAGTCTACAAAGTATCAATTGTAACAAAAACATAGCTGTCTTCCAACAGCTGGTTCCAAGCTATAACCAAGTGCCTGGTATAACAGACTCAAGTATATCCGAAAGTAAAAGGTACACTTGACCAAAATAACCTGAGTCTTTTATAAGAGAGATTAACATTCTTCAATAATAAAAACTAACTTTTTTTTCGATATTGGAAATCTGTATCATTTCTTTTATTATCAATGTATTTAATAAGCATTAAGTTAACTATCAACTGCAACTTACCCTTTTTGCTGAGTTTGGTGGGTAACCATGTGATAACGGCTCGTATCCGGTGCAAATCTACACAGCTTAAGTTCCCCTACTTCCAAACGTGCATAGAGGTCATCATCTTCTCCTCCCCAACCATAATACTCATTGCTCATTCCATTGATGAGCTTAAACTGTGATGAAGTTATTGCTATAGCACCACCAAATAGACTGAGGTATGGTAGGACAAACCTGGAATGTAAGTTTACAGTTGAATATTTGACTGATGTTATAAAAATGACTGTATGGATCACTTATCAGTTATTAATGTTCCTACTGCTGTCACATAGGAATTTTCCATGAATAGAATCAGAATAGCATTGAAAGAAAAAGGACCACAAGAATCAACTTGGCCCTGAATTGGGTACAAACAAAAGATGCAGCATGCACCAAGGATTTAACATCTGTCAGACGGTTTAAGGTGTGTATAATACATGTGATTATTGTAAAAATTTGACAATTATACAAACATATAATTAAAGAGGCAAGTTTTAGCCTAATTGTAGAACTTATTCTTTTTCCATGATACCTTTTAACTATATTTAGGAAAGAGATTAATTATATCACAATGACACTTTTGTTTAGCTTTGAAGGAGATCGTTGCAAGAGTTAAAGTGCCATAATTTAAAATATTAATTTTACACCAGTTAAATTATTCTGCTATTTATTAAGAAATAATACTTACTTAAAAATCATGATGGCAAATGAAAATGAATCCAACAAATACACTAAGGATTGTGCCAAGTACAGTATGTTGTTGTGTTGAGATTATGTTGTGAAACTTCGTACCCTACGTGAGAAAAATAAAAATAACAAAATCATAATTAATTAAACCTTTAATTTGTGCAATGGAAATAATATTTGTAACTCATAGGTATCTCATATTCTTTTTGTGCTCTAATCAATAATACAACCTTTTCTAAATAAAACAGAGAATTAAGAATGAATGAAAGAAATTTTAATCTACAATTGTAAAAAACCTAGTTACTGATTTATATGTTACATACTATATACTAAAAGAATTGGATGTTTCTTCTTAATCAGGATTTAAGCTGCTCATTAATGATGATGAATAACAAAGCAATAAAAGAACAATAAATAGATAAAAATAATAAACATACCTACCTAAACTTATTGATGCTAGAGGACATGTGCCTAGGACATTTTGTGCAGGCATACAGGTTAGCAGGCTTCAACGGTAACAAATCAACATCATGCAAGACCAGGCAAGGGTACCCTGCTTTGAATGCTGCAGCTGCACCAATATTCAATAGTTTGGCCCTATTAAAGGGCCTCATATCTACCTGTTCTATAACATAAATGCGATAGTGTATGTTTTGACGGCGAAGGAACATGTGCATGTATACCAAAAAGCCACGTAGTGTTTCTGCTCTGTCTCTGTAAAATTAAATAACAAAGGTATATACTCCAAGGTTTTTGAAATTCATCTTTTATATTACATAGCGGGTTCTCCTGATACAGGTTTTATTTAAAACTTACTAGGAGGACTCATCGACTGATTGTACTATTATGTTATTTAAAGAAATAAACAAATTTTCATTTTCCATTTTTTCATTATTTTTCCTTTCTTTATTATTAGCTCATAGACATTAATTTAAACTCTCCTAACAGAAAGACTGTATTAGAATATTGATTTCTCGTGTCTACCAACCTATAAGGTACTATAATTGCAGTGCTGAATTTAGGCTTGCAATCCGAGGGGTGAAATTCTCCCCCATCTTTTATTCTATGACCCTCAATCAAATCTCCATCCATGAGGTTTATGGACATTGTTGTATCATCAAATAAAATGTCATGGTAATCACAATCCAAAATAGCAGGGCTGGTAAAGTTTTGAGCCGTTTGGTCATATAAATGCTCCAAAATGTTCCTCTTTTCGATGAAATCATAAGTCCGGCGTGCATTCATATTGGGGTGAAGGAATATTATAACACCGACAATAACCAGTCCACAATATAGAATCTTTTTCTTGTATGCGTGCCGCATGACTCTAATTGACATAAACTTAATCTAAAGTAAATTTTTATCACATTTTTAATAAAATCGATTGTAATGATCACAATGCTAATTAAAAATCACATCACAATTCACAACAACAAAAATATGATGTTATCGAGAGTACATGAGGTGGGTTCGATTCTCTAAATCTAATTTGACAACAGTATATCCTTGTCATACTTTATACAAAACGAGAAAGAGAGACTACTGTCAAATAATGTTTCAAGTTGCATTCCCTGGGATACGTTCAAACCCTACGCTCTAGGTGCAAGAAATGTGTCAAAACAAAATTGAAACGTCAGGGTTACAACGAAAGTTTCGAACGCAGCTCAGAATACATAGGAGCTTAGACCACATAATGTTTAAATTTTTCGCTTTAATTAGTAAAATTTATCCACTGCATAGATAAAAAGTATATTTTAGTAGGTTTTTACCGAAAATTCAACAAAACATAAAAGTTTTCGTATGCCATTCTTAATAATCTCTAGTATGGGAGTACAATCATTGGCACGTATGGTAATCACTGAAACGTGTTAGATGTGTTTTGCTTTTTAGCCGGCTGCGCAATGCAAGAGCGCGAAGCGCGACGCGCAGACAGGGTTATGTGTTTTTTAGACATGGGCGTTTTTGGTTTTGAACGCAAACGGATATTTATCGGATTTCAGATTTCAAAATCGATTTTAAAATCCGTTTTTAGATATCCGATTTCAGATGTGCTGAACTTAGCCAATTCACTAGTTTGTGTTATGATTTGGTTTTATTAGCTTACGACAATCACAAACAATTAATTGTAGGAAGCAAGGATACTCGTAGATTTTCGCGATTTTCCTTCATGCTTTAAATCTAGGCTTAGGACTAGCAGAAAAGTTATGTTTACGGTTAAGAGTAAAACTTTTGCGGCGCATTTAAAAATCGGCTTTTATACAATGATTTCTTTTTACATATTTTGTAGTATTTTGACGTGACAACGTCTTAAATTAGGTTGCGGCTGGGAGTCACTTATGAAAAAGTGTAACGCTCGGTAACGTTACGATGAGTCTCTCGTGTTAAGTTTAAGTTTACATGTACAATGTTTTAGTAAACAAAATATATTTCTATAGTTAAAAACCACACCAGGCTGGTGCACCACGCGCAGGTAATGTGTGACCCACGCGTGCCCCACCTGCGGGGCATGCTTCACCTACCACGCCGCGCTATACAACCACACCAGGCTGGTGCACCACGCGCAGGTAATGTGTGACCCTCGCGTGCCCCACCTGCGGGGCATGCTTCACCTACCACGCCGCGCTATACAACCACACCAGGCTGGTGCACCACGCGCAGGTAATGTGTGACCCACGCGTGCCCCACCTGCGGGGCATGCTTCACCTACCACGCCGCGCTATACGACCACACCAGGCTGGTGCACCACGCGCAGGTAATGTGTGACCCACGCGTGCCCCACCTGCGGGGCATGCTTCACCTACCACGCCGCGCTATACAACCACACCAGGCTGGTGCACCACGCGCAGGTAATGTGTGACCCACACGTGCCCCACCTGCGGGGCATGCTTCACCTACCACGCCGCGCTATACGACCACACCAGGCTGGTGCACCACGCGCAGGTAATGTGTGACCCACGCGTGCCCCACCTGCGGGGCATGATTCACCTACCACGCCGCGCTATACAACCACACCAGGCTGGTGCACCACGCGCAGGTAATGTGTGACCCACGCGTGCCCCACCTGCGGGGCATGCTTCACCTACCACGCCGCGCTATACAACCACACCAGGCTGGTGCACCACGCGCAGGTAATGTGTGACCCACGCGTGCCCCACCTGCGGGGCATGCTTCACCTACCACGCCGCGCTATACAATTACACCAGGCTGGTGCACCACGCGCAGGTAATGTGTGACCCACGCGTGCCCCACCTGCGGGGCATGCTTCACCTACCACGCCGCGCTATACGACCACACCAGGCTGGTGCACCACGCGCAGGTAATGTGTGACCCACGCGTGCCCCACCTGCGGGGCATGCTTCACCTACCACGCCGCGCTATACAACCACACCAGGCTGGTGCACCACGCGCAGGTAATGTGTGACCCACGCGTGCCCCACCTGCCGGGCATGCTTCACCTACCACGCCGCGCTATACGACCACACCAGGCTGGTGCACCACGCGCAGGTAATGTGTGACCCACGCGTGCAAGTAAATTCTTATTCTTATTTTCATTCAATTCCTTGTTCCTATTGTGCAATTTAATTATATTCATATCAATAAATATTCTACCGAGAAAAAGACGTTGTCACGTAAAATCTTCGCCCGTAAAACCGACTTTACAGGCAACCATTTTTTTTTGTTATTCTGTTTGTTTTTATTATTTTTCAAACCATTTACAAAATCAAACCTAATTACTTCAGGTTAGCGTCCAAAAATGTAAGTTGCTCGACTTTTGATGTTTTTAGACGACATATCTTTTCAGTGATAAATAATCCCGCCTCAGAGAACAGCAATAGATTTCCGTAAACAGCAAATCGAAATCGGACTTCCGAGCACGAAATCTGACTTCCGAAAACGAAATCACGAATTTCGAATCCGATTTACATTTGGATACTTGTGGTATTTGGTTTTGGTTCGGTTAGATTTCTGAAATCGGATTTTCTTGTTGAGAAATCGTTCGATATCGATTTGTATTTGAAATCGGATTTTGGATTCGTTTTGATATATCGGACGCATGCCTAGTGTTTTTACCCGGCTGCGCAATGCAAGAGCGCGAAGCGCGACGCGCAGACAGGGTTATGTGTTTAACAGTCTATATATGTATGTTTGTTCCTTTGTGGCACACTAGAGACCAAACGCCTGGACCGATTTTGATGATTCATACATCAATCGATTTGTCTCAATCATGGGAGTGCTACTAAAGATATGATAGTACTCAAAATTCAATATGGGCAAAATTAGGCGCCATATTGTGACGAAGTAAAAAAAAAGTTGATAAAATATGTCGAGTGGGGTATCACTGTCTAGATAATCGAAAATCATGTTTAGGTTCCTAACACCATTTTTCATTTTATATGATTGTTTAGGATCTACAACGCTTTAAAGTTGTATATTAACCACTTATGCTTTTAATTTAAATCTTACGTTTGTATGGATCTTTGTTACTCTTTCACCTAAAAAATACTGAATGGATTTTAATGAAACTTAACAGTAATATAGCTCATATATGATAATTACATATATATAATAATTTATGTAGTTATTGAGTGAACTGGCCAATATATAGCAATAAGTGTCACATAAGACGGAAAAAATCTCCCATCTGCGAGCCATTTTGGCCTGCACTGCAAAAACAATAAAAGTTACATGAATGTAATGTAGAGTGAAAATGTATCTCTTAAATAGTTCTAAAAAAAAGTCCGTGACACCATATATCTATTTTTAATGTGTAAGTCATTACCGCTAAAATAGTGAATCAAAACTAAAATATTATTTGATATCTATATAAAAATTCACATTTTGTATTAACAAATCATTTTTTATCAAAAAAAAATACTTTAATCGCTTTTGATATTTAAATACGATAAACTTTGCTTTTTACACTATGTCATTTCGACAAATATTTAAAAAGTTACAACGATGACAAAGTAATAGCGCGGTGTACTATGTAAAAGAAAAAAAAATGGGGTATTCGCAGTATCCGATCCTATATGAAGTACTAACATTAAAACTGTGATACAGTTCCTTCTTATTAAATGATGAAAAATATATTATCATAATAGGTATTTATGATTATTGAATTTTAATGAAAAACTCAAAATTTTACTGATTTTAATTTTTTTAACGATATTACTTAAGGTTACAAAAAAGGTTTACTTACCTAATATAATGACAAATAACCCATTTTTCGCTAGTAAATACATAGTTATTGGAATCCCTGTATTTATTAATCTGCTCGCTATAATATTGGTTTTGTAATAATTCTGCAAAATTCAAAAAAAAAAATGTAGATTTTTATAGGTAAATCACCCCTTTCATCACCCTACGCCTATAAGTATTGCGATGTTGTAGCTAAGAACCAAGTTCCCATCTACTTCTATATGGGAATTCATTATATTCGATTTAGCTATTAGAGCACGGAAGCGCAACAAACAAACTCACTTTCGCATCTATAATATTATATTATACTTACTAGTGATCCACCCGGGCATTGTCCGGGCGAAATTTATTTATCGGGATAAAATATAGCCTATGTTACTCGGACAAAATGTATTTAAATAAAGAAAAATGTTATAATAAATAATGAAGCTACCTTATGATGAATTAATATTTGAAACCGGTTCAGTAGTTTGACAGATTATTTGTTACAAACATACAAATCTTGCCTCTTTATAATATTAGTATAGATAGTTAGGATAAGATAAGTATTTAATTGATGAAAAAGATTTAAAAATAAAGTAAGTAATAGGTTTATTTGATTATATTTGTAAAACTTACTTAGCATTTGTGCTTAACAGTGATACGTTATTCGGTATTTTTATAACAAAAAAAAATTTGGAAAATAATTACCATGATTGCACTACTGGGAGTACTCTTCATTCGAGCTTACACGACCAATAAAAAAGGGTCGAACACAAAGTCTTTGACCTGTTAAATGTGAACGCTTTAAAAGAAAACTACAAAGAGAACTATAAATTGATAATAAATGAGATTGCTATGATGCTCTACCTAACGTTATGAAAATTTTATTATGCGCCTTTAGTTTAATCAAATATTATAAACTTTGCTTTGGTGATTGCATAATTATTTAATTTAGTGATCTAAGGCAGTTGCCACCATTGTCCAAAACAACAGACGGGAATTACTTCTTTCTTCAACCTGCGACATAAACGTCATTGATTGGTATTGTATATAGGGTGATTAAAAACATTTGAAGTTAACTTCTAGCATCTACATATTGGGTTTCTGTGAATTATGTAGGTAAGTATATCAAATTATGAGACTAGGGACTGACACTGAATTTGTGTATATCACAATCTTAGACGTCCGGCATTGACATGACAATGCAGCCACTGCCAATTTTAAATAGTCGACGAATAAAAGTAAATGAATTTTATATTTACTGCTAAACTATTAAAAAAAACATAAACAAAAGATGACTTTTTGAGTAAGTGCTAATTTACTATAAAATTTACATACATTAGAGATATTTATGTAACGACTTAATTTAACTTCACACATTTTTGCGAAAATTGAGGCCCACCTGTAGCCTTGACCCCGCTGGTAAAGTCTTTATATGTCTTAATAAATCAATCTTTTAGACTGACGCAAGGTACTTTATAATTCCCGCGATATTAATTCCCTTACTGAAGTAACAAGACTACGGTATATACCGTCTTAAAATACTAACTAAAAAGTGTGAAATAAAAAAGGTAAATTTAAAAAATCAAAAAACCCGACTGCCTAATTATTCTTCAAATAAAAACTGAAAAGAAAAAAACAAGTCCAGTAGTCTATAATTCTGTTAATAAGGAACAAAGCTACTTTAACAGTCGGGACCCACTGTTGAAAAATATTATGTATTCTTGAATATCTAAAGGGCTCCCGACTGTTAAAGTAGCTTTGTTCCTTATTAACAGAATTATAGACTACTGGACTTGTTTTTTTCTTTTCAGTTTTTATTTGAAGAATAATTAGGCAGTCGGGTTTTTTGATTTTTTAAATTTTTTATACTTACTTGTTCAAAACCTCAATTCGTATATTTTATTCCTATTAGCATCACAGCACACATATCAGCTGCGCTCTACGGCGCAGGTGGATAACGCATTTAGCCTGTGAGCGTCGAAGTTTACATTTGAAGATACTTTTGCAACGGTCGATCATTGGATGGGTGACCAAAAACTTATTATCTCGAGCTCTTTGGTGTTTCTGCAGTTGTTAGCACTCACCAATCCACACTGGGCCCACGTGGTGGGTCACGCCCCAATCTCCCTATTCCATCCATATGAATTAGGGCGCTTACGCGCGGTGCGGCAACAGCAGGGCCGGATTTAGAGGTCCAGAGGCCTCGGGGCAACAGAGGAGCGGAGGCCCCCTCACCCCAAATTATTTTCCAAATAAAGTAAACAATTTCTTTTCAGTCGAGTTTTTCAATAAATAATTTATTGTGAACCAAGTAGATTCCCTTAGTATTGAACAAACACATAAATATAAACGGAAACAAGAATTATCTGAAATTAAATCTTAGAGTTAACGAACGGAACCTTTCGAGCTTTTTTCGCCGAAAAATCGTTGATGATTTCGTTGAAATCGAGTTCTCGGAGTAAATCGCTTTCAATGCTCAGGAGTGCAATTTGTTACCATCAAAACCAAATACATTCTCAATGCAATTTCGAGGTTTGGGAATGTAGCTCTGAAATTTTGATTAGATGTACAAAGTACTGTAGGCTGTAGGTAAAGGTAAAAGAGCAAAAAAAAAATATCAAAGGAAAAGATGTTTACTAGATGGAATTTGAAAGTTTTTTTTTCCGAAGTCTCTATTGTGGGGGCCCCCGGTTTGTGGAGGCCCCGGGGCTTTCGCCCTGGTTGCCCTCCCCTAAATCCGGCAGTGGGCAACAGTCCTGTTGTCGAGCGCTCGTGGTACCGGCGCCGCACTGTTGCCGCACCGCGCGTTTTGTATAAAAAAAAGGATCGTCCGTACGCTGTACGACAAACGCACCGCTTCGGCACCGTAGCAGGCCGTCAAGAAACGCATAAATTGAAAGCGCCCTTAATAGGCTGGTAAAAATGATGCTACATATCAACTCAGAAAGGTATCAATACCGACTCACCTTTCAGCTTACTGTCAAACAGGCGTAGGCATCGAGAAACACGAAAGAACTCGAGATAATAAGTTTTTGGTCACCCATCCAATGACCGACCGTTGCAAAAGTATCTTAACATCGCCGATTACAGGCTAAACGCGCTATCCATCTACGCCATGGAGCGCAGCTGATAATGTGTGCTGTAATGCTAATAGGGATAAAATATGTGAATTGAGATTTTTAATGTCTAGTATAAAAAAGCAAAACAAATCTAACATGTTTCAGTGATTACCATACGTGCCAATGATTGGTACACCAAAACTTTAAGGTTTTATTGAATTTTAGGTAAAACCCTGCTAAAATAAAATATTTATCTATGCAGTGGATAGATATTACCAATTATAGCAAAAATTTAAACATTAAGTTAGCATAAAACGTGTTTATAATTACCTATATCTTATTGAAGGAACTGTTTCTTAGCATTATTAAGAGAAACGTTCCCGAATGCTGACTTGTAATTCGGTCTATTAAAATAAAAACAAACTTTGTGGTCAGTATTTTATTCAAAAAGAAATAAATATGCAAATTCTGTATTTACATTAGCACATCAAAGTAGTATTACGTTGGTTGGCGGCAATACATTTCCTAAATTTAAACACAAGATTCTTCAACTTTAAAGCCTTAAAAATATAACTAAATAAAATATTGGGCCCAATTCCAACATGATTCTAGAAACATAATACCTAAATTAGACATTAGAGAAAGACTGCTATTAAAATTAGTTTTAAGTTTAGAGAATCATATCAGAATTAGGCCCATCTACTGTTTCTAATGTTGATATACCTATATCCCTTGTACACACCTACAGATATCAACTATAATGCCGACGCTTCACATGACTGTTCTTATTGGCTATTTGTTATTTGAACAGCAGCAAAGAGTATGGTAATAGAACAGCAGGTTGTCTTGACAGATTCTAATAGCCATGTGAAGTTCCGGCGTTAGATTACAGTCAGTCAAAAGTCAGTCGGGTCAGGTAACCAAAAACTGACGAATTTTCCCAATACATTTTTAAACTTTCTAGATATTATGTTTTTGAACGATTAATTCTTTAATAACATACTTTTACACATTTTTATAAAATGAACACAGGTACTTCTGTGCAAAAATTAAAATAATTACGTAAATGAAAAAACAAGTTTCAACAGCAGCCCTGATGACACTTATTTTTTTTTATTCTGAGGCAGATAAATGCCAACACGAAGAATCTTAATTAAAATATACAGCAATAGTTCTATTAGCTGGAATAAATAGTTTGTTTTTAATAGTTAGCTAAATTCGTATAAAGACTATACCTACTTAAACAAAAAATCTATTATACATAATTAATTTAGGAACAGCCAACCATTTAAATTATTTTTTTATCTAATTAGCTAATGGTGTCAATTCTGGCACGATTCTCTAAATCTAAATTTAAATTTGACAAAAGTGTATCCTTGTCCTGCTCTATACAGAATGAAAAGGAGACACTTGTGTTAATTTTAGTTTTAAGTTTAGAGAAACAACTAGAATCGACACCAATATTTCATAACCCGAATGTAATACAAAGATATTGGAGCCCTTTTTTGTATTAGTTGCAATGCAAAAAGGGTTTTATTTAGAAATCAGAAAAGTCTTTTTTTATATAAGGAAGTTTAAAGGAAATATTTTAGGATGAAAAGAAGGGGGAAAGAACCAAGACGTGGGACTTTTTGAAAGCCGTGTTAAGCGAAACTCGCGTAACCTGGATTACACGAGTTACGCTTAATAGTTCTCAATCGAGTTTTCTACTGCCATTTTAACAGAATAGTAAAATAAAAAAAAATACAATAGGCGAGATTTAATTATCCGTATAACACGATTATTAAGAAAATTGTTACGCAATCCCCGTGTATCTTATATACCGCTGACAGATGTGCTTTGTCGGCGTCGAGAAAACGAGCCTATGTCGTGTATCAAAAATTACACTTGACAGGCAAAACAAACTTGCGTGAACTTTTTTTTATACATAGGTCCGACATATGACTCCACCCCACCTGATGGTAAGTGAAGGTGAAGTCCATACGCGAAGATAGCTGATACAGCAATTCTACCTGCCACACCAGCCATCCTCACCCTGCCGGCCTGCATGTTGCTTCTTCACGCCTCTTTTAAAGGATCCCAGGTTGTAAGAGGGAGGGAACACGTGAGCGGGCAGAGCATTCCATTTACTAATCCTGGATGATAGAGCGCATAAGCATAGAACTGGGATTTTAGATAAACAGTCACAAAACCAAGATTATGGCCATAGATCGCACAGGCAAGCTTGAGCTCACTGGGAAACTTCCAAGTCAAGTTTCCCAGTGAGCTCAAGGGTGGGTTGTAACTTTATATACCTGGGCTTAAGCATCAGTTGTAATGGCTCAGAGGAGAACGTGGTGAAGAAGATGAAGAAGAATCGCGATGGTAAAGAACGCCGGACTCTGGTGCTCTGTATATTCTTGTACGGGGTGGACTCGTGAACCCTGAAGAAAGCTGAGCAAGATCGTCTCGATGCTTTCGAGATGTGATGCTGGCGAAGGATGCTGGGTATTTCTTGGACATCACATTCTGGGTACATCGCATCAACGTGCAAGAGCTGAAATAACAGACAAGGATTTTCCACCATCTGCCACGTAGAATCTGACGGCCATTACTGCTTTAATCTGTAAGGTTATGAAGAGAGTTCTTAAACTGCTTCCAGAATATAACGATCTTCTAAGTGATCAATATGGTTTCCACCGGGGACGGTCGACAAGACAACCATCGAATTCAAGGCACAAACTGCAGATAGAAAACTTATAATCCTTTTGATCTGTAAGGTTATGGAGAGAGTTCTTAAACTGCTTCCAGAATATAACGATCTTCTCAGTGATCAATATGGTTTCCACCGGGGACGATCGACAAGACAACCATCGAATTCAAGACACAAACTGCAGATAGAAAACTTATAATCCTTTTGCAAACTCAGGTCCAATTGTGCATGGAGTATTGAAGCCTGCAGCCACCTTTGGGATAGATGGCCAAATGCCAATTTTCCGCACTAGACTCGGTGGAACGCAGAAACAAGAGAATACCAATACCAACCAAAAGGCTACAGCAATGAAGACAAATCAAGAGCAAACCTGTCACCAATAAAAAAAAAACTATTGATACACGGAAAGTGTTGTTAAAATTATATTTTTATTTTTTTAGCATTTAACTGCTAGATGTTTAAATCTAAAGAAAAATATACTAGAAAAAAATTCTCGCGGACCAGGCACCAGACTGGACTCGAACCAGCAGCCTTCGCTATCCGGGGGAATGCACTGACCATTATGCTACCGCGGCCCTGACGGCAGTGTCGAATTTTCTCTAGCCTTAGGCTGCAAGCTAGGCATAGGTTATGTTTGTATTTTTTTAGCATTTAACTGCTAGACGTTTAAATCTAAAGAAAAGTTTCTGCCTTGCAGCCTAAGGCTAGAGAAATTTCGACACGGCCATCAGGGCCGTGCATAATGGTCAGTGCAATGGCCCGGATAGCGAAGGGAGAGGGTTCGAGTCTAGTCTGGTGCCTGGTCCGCGTGAATTTTTTTCTAGTAAACTTTTCTTTAGAGTGTTGTTAATGTATAGTTATTGCGCGCATTGCACGCATTTCGTGTAACCTAGATTTAAAACCTCATACATATTTTTTACACGCTACCGCGTAACACGATTTGTATGGGATTTTAATTTAAACCAAAATTATAAACATTCCTAATATTTTAATTTATCAAATATTTAATTTATAATTAATTATGTGGCCTTAATTTGTACACCATTCTCAAGTTATTTGTATAGTTTTTTTTATAGGAATAGTGATTTTTTTTATTAAAATAGAGAGAAAAATAACTTGATATCATCAATTGCATTTTTCTCAAGTTGACCTATTTTGAGATACACGAAATGCGCTTAACACGGCAGAAATATCAATGTGGATATAAAAAAGGTACTTAATTAGTAACGCTCGCTACCACTATAACAACAATATAATATTGAATATTGGGCGTTAATGTATGTTTGAAACCTTAAAACATCAAGTTGGTATAGAGAGCAGCATATTTCATGACATTGGAGTTTATTTGGAAAATACATTTAAAGCAAAGGATACTATTACGAAATGATTTAATACTATCAGCAGCAGACTAAATTTTATACTCTATTCAATAACCTCTACCTCTGAAACCAAAGCTAAACAAACCATAAAAGGCAGAATTTTTAACGCATATAAAATCATAATTAAAAAAAAGTGACATTATAAAAAACTTAAACTGTAGCTCGTTCAAAAACGAATTATAATACTACTAAATTAAATAGTAGTGATAAAGAATAATTTAGGTTGAAATGGGAAATTTTGTAATCAGAATGGTTACACCAGCCATTTAGTATCACTTCCTATTAATGTCCCCACTGCTGGGGCACAGACCTTCCCTATGGATGGAATAGGGAGATTGGGCCATGACCCACAACGCGGGCCTAGTGCGGGTTAGTGGGTACTAACGACTACAGATGCAACCGGGACCAACGGCTTAACGTGACTTCCGAAGCACGGACGAGCTCGACATAGAAGATTTTTGGTCACCCATCCAATGACCGACCACTACGAAAGTTGCTTAACTTCAACGATCGCAGCCGAACGCATTAACCACCCGCGCCATCGAGATCCTCAATAAACAGGGTACATTGGAGCAATCATAATAACATAATTTAAATTGGTTCATTTGGGCTTTTGTCTCAGAGGAAATTGAATGAAGTACAGGTTTACAGTCTATTGGTACGAATACAACATAGCGACGGCCGGGTCCTCCGTTTCGAAGGTGATGAGCACATCCTTGAACTTATCCAAGAGTTGTATCAGCTGGGACCTGCTCACGTTCTCCATGAACATTATCTCCTCCAGGTGCTGTTCACCTCGGAAATATCCTGAAAAAAAAAATTTGCTGTGAAAATTTTATATCTAGATTTTGATCAGTCTTGGACAGTATAGTTTACTATGACTGATTTTATTTTAATTTTGTAAAGAAGGCGCAACAAATTACACCACCCTAAAGCGGAGTCCAGTCCCGAAAATTGATGATGGGGTAGAAGGTGTGCCGTTCCAGCCATCTTCACCTCGCCGGCCAGAACCCCATCCCCTACCCTTTGGAACCCTACTCACCAGTAGAGACACAACACCTCCAAAAGGTAGATGGTGTAAAGCTGGAGGCAGGTTATCTGGTCTAGCAGCTGGCAGGCATGCTCCATAATGTGGGCTGGCACTCACCCCTGGTTACAGCTGGACCAGCAGCAGGTCGTCTGGTCTTGCAGCTGGCAGGCACGCTTCATACTGTGGGCGGGCACTCACCGCTAGTTACAGCTGGCCTAGCAGCAAGTCGTCTGGTCTAGCAGCTGGCAGGCATGCTCCATAATTTGGGCTGGCACTCACCCCTGGTTACAGGTGGCCCAGCAGCAGGTCGTCTGGTCTAGCAGTTGGCCGGCGCGTTAGAGCTATAAATGTTCAGGCATTGATAAGCCGCAGCCTTCCTGGCCATATTAATGCTCTGCGAGTGACATAACCTTGCAGTCGACTGTAGGCTATCAACGGTTTCGCACCTGTCTGGCAGGCACACAAAAAGTTAAATTGAAGCCTGCACCTGGCACACACTCACCGCGCGCGTGCAGCTGGGCCAGCAGCAGCAGGTCGTGCGGGCTGTGGGCGGCGAGGTTGGCGGGCAGGGCGGGCAGGGAGTGCAGCGCGCAGGGCGGCGCGCCCGCGCACGCGGCGCAGCTGCTGGGCGGCTGCACCCGGCACACACTCACCGCGCGCGTGCAGCTGGGCCAGCAGCAGCAGGTCGTGCGGGCTGTGGGCGGCGAGGTTGGCGGGCAGGGCGGGCAGGGAGTGCAGCGCGCAGGGCGGCGCGCCCGCGCACGCGGCGCAGCTGCTGGGCGGCTGCACCCGGCACACACTCACCGCGCGCGTGCAGCTGGGCCAGCAGCAGCAGGTCGTGCGGGCTGTGGGCGGCGAGGTTGGTGGGCAGGGCGGGCAGGGAGTGCAGCGCGCAGGGCGGCGCGCCCGCGCACGCGGCGCAGCTGCTGGGCGGCTGCATGCTGTGGGCGGCGAGCGAGTGTAGTGCGCAGGGCTGCGCGCCCAGGCACGCCAGCGACGCGTCGCAGCTCGCCGGCACACTCCACACAATCGGCTGTTGGAAGCTAACGGAACGACAACACTCATCTATACTAATATTATAAAGAGGTATAGTTTGTAAGTTTCTGGCGTTCTAGAAGGTATAATATATGGATCTTCTAAATTTATTTTGAAAATTATTTTCATAAAAGAAAGCCACGTTATTTGTGAGTATCATAGGATTATATTAAAAAGTCGCGGGTCGTCATTAGTCTATACTAATATTATAAAGACGTCAGGTTTAATTGTTTGTTTGTATTGAATAGGCTCCGAAACTACTGAACCGAATTGAATATTTTTTTCACATTTAGAATCCTACATTATCCCCAATGAACATTTGCTGTTGAGTATTTTCAAAAAAGGTGGGTTCCGTATGAAAACTTCGATAATGTAACCCAATGTGTGAAAAAAAAACCTTATATCGCGTACGCTGCGGAATTCATTGACAATAGAGCCTGTTCACTCGTTCGATGTGTGTAAATAAAACTCAATGTAACTGCTTCTAAAAATTCTCTCTTTATTGAACTTATTAAAGTTGCTATATAGTTTCAATATGCATTAAACGCTACCGCGATTGGATTGGAAAAATGTCCCCATCTATTGATCATTCATGTAAACATTCCTTGATACTATAGATACTCTCGGTGCTCAAATCCATAGCGCGATTCAGACAACTACAATGCCATCTAACCTTTGATTTGTGGTACTATAATTCTAGACATTCCGCCCACCAAAGACTCTGTCTTTTGATAACATTATAACAAAATGAAAAAAAAAAAACAGTATCTCTAATTACTTTGCTATAAACAAACAAAAATAAGAAAATTTTGAGCACCGCCCACCATAAACATCTCTATTACAAACCAAGTTCTATAAGGAAACTAATTTTTAAATAAGAAACACAATCTGTTACATGCACGTTTAAATATTCCATTCTTTGTTTTTAGTGTGACTACTCTAGTCACTCCATCCTTCCCTGTGTGATTTTCTAAGACTCTGCCCAACAACCACTTGGCTGGGGGCATATTTTCTTCCCTTATGATCACTATGTCATCTAAAGCTGGTTCTTGTTCACGTTTTGTCCATTTGAAGCGTTGTTGTAATGAAGTCAGGTACTCGTCAGACCACTTTCGCCAAAAATCATTTACCATTTTTTGGCTCATTCTCCATCTTGACATTCCAGTATAAGAACTTTGTGAGAAATCTTCATCTGGTATCACTATAAGAGGCTCTCCTACCAAGAAATGGCCAGGTGTAAGCGGCAAAGGATCATCCGGATTATCACTAAGATGCGTCAAAGGGCGTGAATTTAAACACGCTTCGATTTGAGAAAGCACTGTTGATAACTCCTCGTAGGTTAGTGTAGATTCGCCAATAACTCTCTTCAAATGTGACTTGGCTGATCGAACACCCGCTTCCCATAAGCCACCAAAGTTTGGGGCGTGTGGTGGGATGTAATGCCAATTTGTGCCTTCGCAGTCTAGTAACTGTCTTACATCATTTTGAAAGTCAGATTTGGCTTTAGAAAACATACGCTGAAGTTCTTTATCTGCTCCAACGAAATTAGTAGCGTTATCGCTATATAGATCCTGACAAGCACCTCTCCTCGACACGAATCTGCGGAATGCCGCGATAAAGCCTTGGGCAGTAAGGTCTGACACGGCCTCTAAATGTATGGCACGAGTAACCATACATATAAATAGACAGACGTATCCCTTATAGGATTTTGATCCCCTGCCTGGCGAAAATCTTAAATTTATAAATCCCGTAAAATCTACTCCGGCACTCTTAAAAGCCTTTGACGGCTTAAGTCTCACTTCTGGTAACTGTCCCATCATTGGATTATGTTTCTGTTTGGAGTAACGTCTGCAGGTTATGCATTCTCTGTAGACTCTTTTCGTTAAAGCTCTTGCTCTTATAATCCAATATTTGGATCGCAAATAATTCTGCATTAGTTGTGGCCCACCATGAAGACTTCTTATGTGTACATCCATCACAATTAATTTAGTCAAATGACTAACACTCGGTAAAATTACTGGATGTCGTTTGTCATACTGTATGGTGGCCTTATCGATTCGTCCACCTACTCTTAAAACTCCATTCTTATCCAGAATTGGGTCAAGAGAGTGGAGGATACTCTTTTTAGGAATGCTCTTTTGTAACTTTAACAATTCAATTTCATTCAAAAAGTACAACCCTTGGGTTTCTCTTATACAGTGGTCCAAAACTCTATTTCTTTCTTCAGTCGTCACAATTCTGTTCAATCTGGTTCGTTGTGCCCTTGGTAGTTTCAAGTCTAAAAGTTTTCGACAGTAAGATAAAGTATAAAGCATTTTAGTTAGTGATGAAAATCTAGTCCAAATAAACGTTTCTTTAATTTCAATTAGATTAGCAAAAGTATTTATTCGACTCTCTTCTTCAGTATCAAATTCTTCATTAACTCTGTGTAAATCATGTTCCAACAGCCATGATGGCCCATGCCACCACAACGGATGATCCCTAAGCTCAGAACAACTCACACCTCTCGAGGCACAGTCAGCTGGGTTGTCATTGGTTCGGACGTAACTCCATTGTTCTGGGTCTAGCATGGTCCTAATTTCTGAGACTCGGTTACTCACAAATGTAACCCATCGATTTGGTTCTCCTCGTATCCAAGCCAAGACAACTTTTGAATCAGACCAAGCATGCAATCGATCTTTGGGGACTAACATTACTTGAGAAACTTCAAATAATAATTTTGCTGCCAAGAGGGCACCGCAAAGTTCCAATCTGGGAACTGATATCTCCTTTTCAATGGGTGCTACTTTAGTTTTGGCAGTTATCAACGATACATGAATAGTACTCTCGGAAACAACTCTCATATAAACTACAGCACCATATGCTGTCTGTGATGCATCGGCGTAGGCATGCAATTCGATAACACTATCTCTATTCGTATTTAACCATCTTGGTATCTCTATGCCTTTTGCTCTCTTCAAATCCTCCTTAAACGCTAGCCACTCTTTTGACAAATTAGAATGTAATGGTTCGTCCCAATCTAAGCCAGACTTCCATAACTTCTGAATATATACTTTGGCAGTAATAATAATCGGGGCTATCCAACCCATTGGATCGTAAAATCTTGCTATAATAGAAAGCACGTTTCTTTTAGTGACAGGCTGTTTGTCCTCTGGTATTTGCAAAGTATATTCAAAGTTGTCTGTAGATTTATTCCAACATATCCCCAAAACCTTAACCATATCGTTGGATTTGAAAATCATTGGCTGATTCGTGCCTTTGTTTTCTTCTCTTATATGGTCAAGTAACTTCTCGTTATTACTGCACCATTTTTGAATTTGAAATCCTCCGGCTCTCATCATACTGTTAAGTTGTTCGTAAATCTCAATCGCGTCAGATTCTGCCTCACATCCGGTTAAAAGGTCATCCATGTAAAAATCATTAATCGTTATCTCTGATGCAACTGGATATCGTGCCTGCTCGTCTCTCGCAAGTTGCTGTAATGACCTGACCGCTAAGTACGGTGCACAGGCAGTTCCAAACGTTAATCGCATCATTTGATAATGTTGCATATGTTCGAGTGGGCTTGATCGCCACAAAAAGCGTTGATAGTCTACATGTTTTTCATGAACACGAACTTGTCTGTACATTTGAACTAAATCAGCAACAATACATATAGGATGTTTACGCCATCTGAAGAGGATATGACGTAAGTCTTGCTGTATTTTGGGACCCACCATCAATTCATCATTTAAAGATACGGAATTCATCCCCTTACAAGAGGCATCAAATACAGGGCGTACTTTTGTCGTTTCCCTCTCTTCTCTGATTACAGCGTGATGTGGGAGATAGACAGCATTAGAATTCTCAATCTCTTCACGACTACATATTTGTCTCGCATGGTTTTGTTTTATGTAGTCCTCTATTGCATCCTTGTATTGCTGTTGAAGAGAAGTATCTTTAGACAACTTCTTCTCTAGTAGCATAAACCTCTTATTGGCAATTTCTTTTGATCGTCCGTTAACACAATCGAGATTATCTGTTTTGAATGGAAGACACACAATATATCGTCCGCTTTCATCCCTCTTTGTTGTTTTCTGGAATAAATCCTCGCACGCTCTTTCCTCATTACTCATTTTCTTTTGAATGCAATCTGGTTCTATCTCAATTTCCCAAAATGCCTTCAGTAGTTTCTCAGTTTGATATGAAGTATGTAAACTTATCATCTTTCGTTCTGGTAAAGATTGCTGGTTCGCTATTCTCCCCGACAATACCCACCCAAGCTGAGTGTTTTGTGCTATAGGGTTTCCATATATTGGATGCTTAATTACTCCTGCCAACAATATCTCACTATGTATTTCTACTCCCAACAAAAGATCTATTTTTCTCGGATATCCATACTCAGAATCGGCTAGTGTCATACTCTCTATTTCAGGCCAATCTGTCACTTTTATGTGGTTAGAAGGCAGGAATTTCGTCAAAGTATTTAAAACAAAGGCGTTCACTTGTATGGTAAACGAAGGGTTATGAATCGATTGAACCGTAAATGTTACCATACTCTTTGTTCTCATTTGTCCATCTCCAACTCCAGATATAACGCCATTGACAGATGATTTTTTAAGACCAAGCATTTGCACTGTCGCTTCAGTTATGAATGAAGCTTCAGAACCTTGATCTATGAGTGCTCTAATTTTGTGACAAATACTGTTTCTAGCTATGGCATGAACTACTGCCGTTGCTAAGAGTGCAGTTGGGTGATTTTGTGTCTCAGAAGCAAAATGGGTGGCAACTCTCTCATCTACTACATTCATCTCTGGTTCTCGCTTCTCTGATGACTTAGGTACTGGTGTAGACTCGTTAGGTGCTAAGTCTCGATTCTCAAAATGAAGTAGTGTGTGGTGCCTTCGGCCACAACGGCGACAGCTCATAATTTTTTTGCAATATTTGACAGCATGATTTGGTGTCAGACAGTTAAAACAGAGACCTTTTGTTTGTACGCAGTCAGATCTTTCTTGAGGTGACAATTTCT